AGGGGAGGGGAGGGGAGGCATGTCCACCCTGACTAGTCCCGCTGTATAAGAGGAAAAGGTAGGCACAGGGCGGAGCTACACTTGAAACAGAGGTATAAGACTACTTAGCTGATCAACAAACTTGTGAAAAGTGACCATTTTTGTGAGCCACCGAGTTCTGGGTTTTTTCTTATGCAGGCCGACTAACACAGTAGTTAACAGTAACACTAACAGTTAACTTTCCACGCCCTCTCCCTCTCCCCCCCATACACACACATGCATTATTATCTTCCTCATCTGCCTATACAAATCTTCATAATGCAAATATATCTGTTTGTCTTTTTTTAAAAAGAACAGCAAAGAAGACAAATTATAGCAGTCGCCTAACATTTATCCCTTTGGACAAGACACGTTACCCTTGAAATACATCATGGTATGAAATCCACCTGAATCTATCTATCATCACCTATCTATCTATCTATCTATCTATCTATCTATCTATCTATCTATCTATCATCTATCTATCTATCTATCTATCTGTCATCTATCTATCTATCATCTATCTATCATCTATCATCACCTATCTATCATCTTTCAACCTCCCTCTCTATTAGGCATCTCCAAAGCCTGCCTAAAACTGTTATCAGGCATTTATCAGAACACAAATAATCACTAAAGGATACATGAAAGGGGTTTTTTATTTGAATTACCTCTGCCTGTGATTATTTCGCACAATATAGAATCAGCAGCTTTAGTAAAAACTGGGTCGATCCAACGATTCAATACATGACGTTCCCCAAGGGCCGAAGCAGGCGCCACAGGCCCGCTCGGCGTCCCCCAGCACACACCTGAAGGCAGGTACAGGTGAGCCGCGAGCCAGATTACGTACCAGGGGACGACGTACCGTCCTGCGCCGTGTCACCGCCACGTCACTCCCTCAGCGGAGGCCGCACGCACACAGGCGGGCGGCCCGGGAAAACTGCGACGCAGCGAAGCCACAGGGAGCCTGCGTAATGCCCNACCAGCGTTACGTACCAGGGGACGACGTACCGTCCTGCGCCGTGTCACCGCCACGTCACTCCCTCAGCGGAGGCCGCACGCACACAGGCGGGCGGCCCGGGAAAACTGCGACGCAGCGAAGCCACAGGGAGCCTGCGTAATGCCCGGCCTACGTGATGCCGTCATGCCCGGCCTACGTGACGCCGCCGTGTCGTAGCGATGCCGTAAAGCGGCGCTTACGTAATCCCCACGCCGTAGCCGACGCCAGGCCCGAGGGCAGCGCCTGCCCGCTGAGCCAGGGCTGACGGTGTGAGCGAACCTGCTGCGCACACTTGCTCGGAGTCCGGGCGTGCGGTTGCGGGTGGCGCGCGGTACGCGACGGTGACGGTGACGGTGGGTGCCTGTCCCGGGGCGCGCGTTCACTGGGCTGCGCTTTGTGAAGTTATTTCACAGAGTCCTCTTTTGTTGAAATGAGGGTCGCTGCGGGCCTGCACCGTCGCTCCGCGGCGGCCTCACGCATCTCGTGTCCGCGCGGTCTCCTGCCGGGCGTTTTCTCTGGTGCGGGATGAACTCTCGTGTCGGCTCTCCGGTGGCCCTTGCGGGTGTGTGGCCAGCAGCCACGGCCACCGCGTGCCGCCGGGGTGCTGGGAGCNGGCCGCGAGCCTGCCTGAGGCGCGGCTCCGCTGTCCCTGCCGTTCACCGCGCGGGACCGGACTGTCGTTTTCTTACCTGAACGCGTTCCATGTCCAGTTTCCAGGCTACCTTGTTTTTCGCATTGCCTTTTCTAATATTTAGATGTTGCTTTCTACCCTGAAAAGTGCAATTTATAAAAACTTTATTATAAGAATGTACATGTCTATAATTAAAGGAAAACATAATAAACTAAAATTGAGATTGTCAAGTATAAAATGTCAATTCAAGAAACACTAATCAAGACGAGAATTATTTCAATTCCAGGGTATCTAACTTAGTTATGAAAAATATGTAACTACTGAAGTGAATTTCTAAAGCTGCTATATTTTACCACCTGTGTGCTCTTCAATAGCAAAGCACTGAGTTTCTTTAATAGAACCTGCGCCTAAGGTGGTATAAAAACTAACACTAGTCGAGCTGGTGTGGCTCAGTGGTTGAAAAGCCTACTCAGGAGCCAAGAGTCACCAGTTCAGTTCCCGGTCAGGGCGCCTGCCTGGGTTGTGGGCTCCATCCCCAATAAGGGCTGTGCAGGAGGGAGCTGATCTCATGGATGTTTCTGTCTATCCCTCTCCCTTCCTCTCTCTAAAAATCAATAAAAACATAAAAAAAAACAACACACTAATCCATTCCCTAAATTTAATTCAATGCCAATGTTTATGTTCCAGAAAAAAAATCTGACAACAAAGTCAAAAGTACTGTGGTATGCAGAATAATCTCCACCCTCCTCCCAAAGATATCCACCTGGGATCTGTAAATAAGTCCTGTTTCAAGCCACAGGGGGATTAAGGTGGCAGATGAAATTAAGGTTGCTAAACAATTGACCTTAAAATAGGAAAATTATCCTGGATTATCTGGTTGTGCACAACATAGTGACAAGGGTTCTCAAAAGATGGGAGAGGGAGGCCAGAGGGTCAGTATCAGAGTAATGCAATGTGAGAAACACTTGACCTGTTGCTGGCTTTCAGCATGGAAAGGGAATGTGACCCATAGAATCGGGAAAGACTCTAGATGCTGGACAAGGCAAGAAAATATATTCTGCCCTAGACATCTTTCATCAATTCTGGTATTGCACAAACATGGGAGTTAGCTGAATTAGCTGAAAAATTTTGTAGGTTACTCCCATGTTTGTGCAATACCAGAATAGATGAAAGATGTCAGTCCTCAGATTTTGGCATTATCATGACTCCCAAAACTGCTGTACATGAGGGTTATAGGATAGTGACCAGCACTTAGCAGACATTCAATAAACATTTGTTGAATAAATCTGAATACATTGAGGTGAAATTATAAAGCATCAAATTACAACAAAAGGGTTTTAAAATCTAACAGTCATTTCAATTTCCTGCAAATGAACAGCAATTAGATGGCAACAGACTTTTCAACAATAAAAAGAGAAGCCAGACACCTCCAAGAAAGAATCCTGGGAGAAAATAATTCTTAGCCTAGAATTATACGCCCAAAACCCACAAATCAAGCTTAAGGAGAAAAATAAAATACTATTAAACAAGAGCAGAGAGCCTAATACTAATAGACATTTAGTAAATAATTTTTTTAAAGAGACCTTTCAGAAAGTAGGAACGGATCATACTATGATATATCCAAAAAATTGGTGAGATCAGAAATTCGTAAAAATGGTGGTGCATCTAAACAAGTGTTAACAATAAATAAATATTTGATAATGGATAATTTTGGGGGGAAAGATGGAATTAAAATACAGGACACGTGCCACGTTAAAAGAGTGGTGGCTAAGAAAATGTGAAATATTAATATTTTTTATTGCTCACAAGAAGAGCAGAGATTATCATAAATTTTTTCTATCAAATACATGTGTTAAAATTTTAAGTATGAAACTGAATATTTAAAATAGAATGCAAATTCAAACAAGTAAAAGAGTGAAAGGGAAATGAAAAAACAAAAATAAAATAACAAAATAAGAAAAGTTCAACTCTGAAATAATTTAACTATGAAATACAGGTTTTACACACATTTTAAAATATGTCACAAAACATTTGAAAGGTCAAAGATGCTTCAATGGCTTCATTATTTTAATCATGTATCCTTGATCTAACTGAATAAAAAAAGGAGATTGATTTAGCAATAAATTATGTCAGATAGTAATAACTGGATTTTTATTTGCTACAGACACTGAACATGGCTATTGTTCAGTTACCTCTTTTTCGGAATTTCTTGAGGCTAGTTTTTGACTTTCACTTTAGTGAAAAATATACTTTGATTTGATTCTTTCCAAGATGAATTGCAATTAGTATTTGATGACTCACTGACCCCCTGCAAAGAATTCATTAAGCAGGTGGTACAGTGAAACTTAGGTATAATTTAGTTCACATCGTTCCAATTTGACACAACCTATTTAAAACCATGACCCATTTAAAGATGATTGAGGAGTGTCTAACTTAAGAGCCATTCACTCTTCTTATTTACTCCCTGAAGAATTTAGAATGACACAGAAAAAAAGTGTGCAATTTTTCAATGGCACTGAAATTTCCATTGAAGACCACAATGCCTAATCAAAAGAAATTCCTTTTATGAATGTGACTGATGGATACGACATTTTCTCACTGCTAGTGCTTGTTAACTGTCATCATGATTCGGATGCTCTGACTTTAGTAAATTGTTTTAGACTTCACAAACTATCAAATCTAGTCACAAGCAAACATTTTATAATTAAGAAACAAAATATCTTTACCTATATTATCTGTATTAACAAAAAAACAGTTCTTATGGGGCTGTGTTCTAATTTCCTAAATTTTTTAAATTGAATATTTGCCCACAATATTTTATTTTCTATTAGCAAAGCTGTAATGTGAAACAAGCTAGATTTTGAGAATTTTTTAAATTTTTTCTCTGTAATATTTGATGACTGTATTTTAACTTTTTTTCACATTTACTGGAATTCTTTTGATATTGCTTCATTCATTTTTTTTTAATATATCTTTATTGATTTCAGAGAGAGGAAGGGAGAGGGATAGAGCGATAGAAACGTCAATGATGAGAGAGTCACTGATCAGCTGCCTCCTGCATGCCCCCAACTGGAGATCGAGCCCACAACCCGGGCTCTGACCGGGAATCGAACCCCGATCGCCTGGATCCTAGGTCGATGCTCAACCACCGAGCCACACCCAGCCAAGCTGCTTCATTAATTTTAAAAATTCTCTTGGATTTTCACTGCTGGTATATGCAGTTTACTGAAAATATAAGGTGAAAAAATCGAGCAAAATGAAAAATGCTCTTCTGAATTAATTTCCATCTATAGAAAAGAAGAAACGATTAGCCCCCAAAGCTTCAACTAAGCACTAAGGGCCCTAATATAATATTTTAATAGGCCTGCTCACCAAATCCAAGTAGGCATCGAAGGCATTTTTACCCTCTTTTGCACTATTGGCTAATGTTTCAAAAGATAGATACCTTAACCTGATGCTGTGATTGCTGGGTTACTATCCTGCTCCTGAAATCTATGTTTTTTAAATAGGTTATGCAGGTTACATTCACAGGCTGAAGCCAGGCATAACTTAATCTTCAGTGACAGCAGTAGCAAAGCATAGTTTAGGCGCATTTTATTAGGAAGGAACGTGATCTACTGAAAACTGACTTAACATGGCTTTATCAAAAGGAGTTTCTTTTACAACACAGGCGTTCAGAGGAAGACAGTCTAGAACCGAGGTAGGGCCCACATGATAACCTCACAGAACCAGGCTCTCTCTGTCTCTGTCTCTCCCCTCTAGTCCTCAGCACGTTGAACTCCATCCTCACTCAAGCTTCCTCCTGGTCTCAAAGACCGTTGTATCACGAAGCATTGTGTCCAGGCCCCAGAAAGAAAGGGTCAGAGGAGTAAGATGTTATGGCTATCTACTGCTACATAACCAATCAACTTAACTGATTATTTATTATTGTATTATGTTACTATTATCAAAAAAATATTGGCTTAATTCTTAGGAAGGTGCCATCTGCTCTAAGCTCATGTGAAAGGATCTGCTGGTCTTCAAAGCTGGAGGATCAGCTTTCAGCTCACATGATGGTCTCTCTCTTTCTTTCTCTCTCTCTCTCAGCCCGTCTGACCCAGCACCTTATCTCTTCTTCTTGGTAGACAGACTTCTGTGTAGCCACTGGAATTTTCCACAAACCCAGGTAGAGTAACTGTCAAGCCTTCTAAGGGTTCCAGCTTGATGTCACTTCTGCCACTATCTACCCCTAAAAGTAACCCCAGGCCCATCCCAGATTCAAAAGTAGGAGATTATACATGAATCTGATACCTAAAAACGTAGCTCAGTTGAGTTCATCATTTAACAGATAATCATGGTATATAATCTGATCCCTAATGATTCACATTTCCCCCCATTTAAAAGACACCCCACCGCACCCCAAAACACTATATGATTCATTGGATTATGGAATCAGGGTCAGACTTGAGATTTGGGATATCATCATTGCACATACAGATCTTTAGCTGCCACAATACTCCATTTAAGTCTTTTAAACTAAGTAGACAAGTTAACACACACATACACACACACACATACACACACTCAGTATGCAACATTGGGACTAGGACAGTGAAACCAAAACAAGCACTTACTTCAACAAAGGGAAACAATGAGAGGCACACAGCACACAGCTGGAATGGTCACAATTCTGGAATCCACAGGTGCATATTACCAGTAACCATTGGGGCCCAATATCACTCCATGTTTCTTGAGTGCTCTCTGAGTCTTCTTTGTTTTTCCACACAAAATGTTCCTCTTTTTCAGTGAAGTTTCTTTCTCATTCTGTGTCTTGCTTGAGAAATTTGATGACATTGAAGTCTCTTTTAACTTGGAATTCTTTTTCTGTTACTATTTTTTTCTTAAGTTTGGATAATTCTTTGACAAAACTGTATATTTCTTAGGTCTCAAAAAATAATCCACTCAATCACACAAAAGCAACACTGTGTAATGTTTGTTTTCAAGTCATGCCCTGTACTTTGGACTGAGAGTCAGGGTGCTCTGGTACAATGCTATCAAGATTCTTAGAAAACTATTATCTAGCAGGGAGTGTCTAGGAAGAATACCTTTAAGATTTTTATAAGTAATTTTGTTGTTGTTGAGAGAGCCTATGAGACATCC